CTGAGACTTCCAGGGATCTACAGTCTGTGGCTGTCTCCCAAGATTGTTAAGCTAGTCACTCTGCACTCAGCAGTCAGATAAGCACCACAGGGAAGGGCAGAATCCCTCCTGGGGTTGGGACTGTTGTTTCCCCTCAGGCTGCTGCTGCTTGGAGGGGAGTGGTCTGCCTGAGCGTGATGGCTGCTATTGTATGGGGGATGACTCAGCACCAGGATCTCCAGGGGCTACTCTCTCAGTTCTCTCCTCAAAGCTTCCATGCCCAGTCTCTCCTCAGGAGTCTCTAGCCCACTCTGACCCCACCTTTGCTGGAGCCCAGGGTAAGTGGCTAAAAATGAAAATTTGTGTGTTGTCCCTTTAAATGGCTCTTTGTGTCCCCAGCTAAGTGCTCTGGCAGAGAGCAACCCTGATGCTTTTTGCAGCTGGATGTCATCTGTGTACTTTTTGGGTTCTGGTGCTCTAGCTGGGGATCCCAGCTTAGGGTTTAGATCCCACACTTCTCAGGAGGATCCAACTAGTCGCTTAGTTATCCCTCCAGCACTGCCACCTGTGGGGGCCTAGCCAGCCTTCTTGAGTCTCCACTACATTCCTTAGCAGTCAAGTTGTGCTAAAGATGATCCTTCTGTCTGAGGTTTAAGACTCTTCTCTCACTATTGTTCAGTTGTTTATCCCAGGTGATTTCTCCACAATTTATTTGTAAATCCAGATTGGTCCAGGGAGGAGGTCAGTGTGACTTCCATTCATTCCTCCACCATCTGGCAAGCCCTTCTGTGTACTCTTTGTTTAATTCACATACTCGCAAATTTGACTTCCTGAAATTCTTGAAGTTGTTCTATTTATCATTTAGTTTCAGACTAGTTTTTTAGGACTTCCCCTTTTTCATGAGTTAGCTCCAGAACATTTGGATCCATTAAGGATTTGATATTGCAATTAGAAGAAAAATGCTTCTGGTTTGTCTTTTACCACATGGGTGGGTTGGTGGGGTAAAATGTTGATGATGTCATGGGTCCTTTTCCAAGATCTCAACAATGACAATTTAAAGAAAAATGAAGCTTTAACAGCACTGGAATAAGAAAGCATACCACAATAAATTCTTCAAAGTTTCCAAAGATAAGAGACATTTCTGAAGAAATCAAAACAATGATTCTGAGGCACAAAGAATATCCCAGAGGCATTTCCAGCTTAGAATCCAATACAAAGATCAGAAAAGGGCCAGGTGACCATCATCAATGTATGTCCTTCCAGATATGCTGTGGCAGCTGTGGTACATGTATGTGTGGGGGACAGAGGAGCAATCCAGAAGACACAAAAGAAGGTATTATGGACTAAATTATATTCCACTGACCCTAAATTCATATGCTGAAATCCTAACCCTCAGTACTTCAGAAAGTGACCATTAGAGATAGGGTCTTTAAAGAGGTAAAATGCTCCGGCCAAGATGGAGGCATAGGTAGAAACCCTTTCCTTCCTTGCACAACCAAAAGGAGGATAACAACAAATCTAAAATCAATAAACAACCAGAAGTGCCAGAAAATCAGACTGCATGGAACTCCAACAACCAAGGAATTAAACAGTCAACCAGACCAACCAGACTGGGAAGGTAGGAGGATGGAGAGAACCTGTGGCAAGGTGGCAAACCATGCCGGTTGGTCTGGCTGAATGGGAAACTAAAACTCAGAGCTCACTGTGGACTCTGGCATGGGTTGCCTCAGTGGGAGGAACTCCCAGTCTCACATGAGGGTTTGTTGGAAATTGGGCCAGAGCTGAGCAGGAAGCTGCATTGTTCCCTCTCCGGACCCTCCCCCACAGACAGCGCCCTGGCGCAGCAAGGAGGGTTACCCTGCCCTGGGGAGTACTTCAGGCCCTGCCCCCTTACAACTTATCAGGTATGCCAAGACAAAGAAACATGGCTCAAATGAAAGAAAAGAGCAAAACCTCAGAAAGAGAGCTAAGTGATGAGGAGATAGCCAACCTATCTGATGGAGAGTCCAAAGCCCTGGTAATCAAAATGCTCACAGAACCGACTGAGCTTGGTCAAAAAATGAAAGAGCAGATGAAAGATACCCACAATGAAATAAAGCAAAATATTCAGTGAACCAAAAGTGACAGGAAGGAAACCAGGACTCAAATCAATGATTTGGAACAAAAGGAAGAAATAATCACCCAACTGGGACAGAATGAAAAAACAAAAATTAAAAAAAATGAGGAGAAGCTTAGGAATCTCTGGGACAACTTTAAACATTCCAAATATCCAAATTTGTGCCAGAAGAACAGCAGCAAGAGACTGAAAACTTATTTGAACAAATAATAAAGGAAAACTTCCCCAATCTGGTGAAGGAAATAGACTTCCAGGAAGTCCAGGAAGCCCAGAGGGTCCCAAAGAAGTTGGATCCAAAGGGGAACACACAAAGGCACATCATCATTAAGTTACCCAAGATTGAAGACAAAGAGACACTCTTAAAAGCAGCAAGAGGAGAGGAGACAGTTACCTACAAAGGAGTGTCCATAAGGCTATCAGCTGATTTCTCAAAAGAAATCTTACTGGCAAGAAGGGGTTGGAAACAAGTATTTGAAGTCATGAAAGGCAAGAACCTATATCCGAGAATACTCTATCCAGCAAAGCTATCATTTAGAAGGGAAGGGCAGATAAAGTACTTCCCAGATAAGGTCAAGTTAAAGGAGTTCATTGTCACCAAGCCATTATTATATGAAATGTTAAAGGAACTTATCTAAGAAAAGGAAGATCAAAAATATGAATAGTAAAATGACAACAAACTCACAACTATCAACAAATGAACCTAAAAAAAATAAAAGAAAAACAATGAAAACAAAAACTAAGCAAACAATTAAAACAGGAACAGAATCAGAGAAATGGACATCACATGGAGGGTTTTCAGTGGGGAGGGGGAGGGGAGGAATGGGGGAAGGTACAGGGAAGAAGAAGTATAACTAGTAGGCATTAAATAGACAGGGAGAGGTAAAAAATGGTGTAGGAAGCAGGGAACTCAAAGAACTTATCTGTATAACCCATGGACATGAACTAAGGGGGAATGCTGGAGGGTTGGGGGTACAGGGTACGGGGGGAAAAAGGGGGAAAATTGGGAAAACTATGATAGCATAATGAATAAAGTATACTTTAAAAATAAAGAGGTAAAATGTTATTAGGATGGGGCCTAATCCATTTGGCATTGTTGGTTAAAAAATATATTAGCCATCCAATAAGTGTGTCATGAAACTCACTGTAGTTTAAATTTATATTCCCTTAATGGCCAATTGTGTTGGACATCTTTTCATGTGTTTATCACTTGAAAATCTTCTTCAGTGAAATGTCTGTTAAAATCTTTTGCTCTATTTTTTAACTGGGTTGTTTTCTTATATTGAGTTTTGAGAGTAATTTATATATTCTCGATACAAATTCTTTGTCAGACATGTGATTTGTAAATATTTTCTACCTGTATGTAGCTTAACTTTTCACTCTCTTAACAGTGAAATACATAGTTTTTAGTTTAGATGAAATCTAATTTGTCAATATGTTCATATATATTAAATATATACACATATACATTTATAATATATGTATTATATATATATATATAAAATATATAATGGAATATTGGTCATCCATAAAAAGAAAATTCTGCTATTGTGACAACATGGATGGGTGTGGAGGGCATTCAACTAAGTGAAATAAGCCAGTCAGAAAAAGACAAATACTGTATGGTATCATTTATATATGGAATCTAAAAAAAAAAAAAAGCTGAACTCATAGAATAAAGAGTACAATAGTGGTTGCCAGGGTGTAAGGGTTAGGAAATGGGGAAATGTTGATTAAAGGGTATAAACTTTTAGTTCTAAGATAAGTTCTGAGGATCTAATGTACAACATGGTGACTATAGGTAATAACATTGTATTGTATATTTGAAATTTGCTAAGTGAATAGATCTTAAGCATTCTTATCACAAAAAAGGTTAACTGTGATATGATGTATGTGTTAGTTGCAGTAAATACTTCATAATGTGCACACATACTAAATCATGATATTGTATACTTTAAATACACACAGGTTTGTCAGTTATAATAGAATAAAATTAGAAGAAATAAACAAGAAATAATGCTATGATTTTGATAAGAATTGTACTAAATGCACAGATCAATTTGAGGATAACCAACATCTTTACAGTATTAAGTCTTCTAATCAATGAACCCACTATATCTGCCCATTTATTTTACTCGTCATTGATTTCTTTCATAAACCTTTTGTAGCTTCAACTCTCAAATCCTGTATATGTTTCCTTATAACTAGTACTTCATCCTTTTTTGGAGCTATTGTTCCTGCTATTTAAAGTTTCAGTTTCCAGTCAGTCACTGATGGTGTATAGAAATATGTTTGATTTGTGGTTGGCCTTGTATCATGGACTCTTTTCAAACTTACTTATCAACTCCATGAGTTTTTTTGTAGAGTCCTTGGGATGTTCTCTGCAGATAATTATATCATCTGTGAGTAGTGAGTTTTATTTCTTCCTTTTTTAATCTAGATATTTTTACTCCTTTTTCTCATCATATTGCATTAGCCTCTGGAAGGATGTTGAATATGAGTAAAGAGGATAGAAGATCTGATCATGTTTCATATCTTATGGGGAGGGCACTTGACTTTCACCATTAAGTATAATGGTAACTTGGGGATTTTTTTTAGATGCCATTTTCTGAGTAAGGGAGTTGCCTTCAATGACTAGTTTGCTGAGAGTTCTTCTCATAAATGGATACTGAATTTTATCAAATGCTTTTTTCTGCATCAATTGATATGATTTTATGGATTTTCCTCTTTAGTTTTATTAAAATAATGAATTATATTGAGTAATTTTTTAAAATACTGAACCAACTTTACTTCTTGGGATAAACCCATACTCTCACTTTATATCCTTGTTATAGTTGGACTTTACTACGGATATGCATTACTTCCATAAGAAGCTGATATAGCTGAATTTTAAAAGAAATACATATACCTGACTCCATTTTTTCCTTTTTCTGGCTTCTGGTTAAGGCCATCCTTTACCTGAAAAAGAAAACACTTTAAAGTCTAATCCATTAAAATACATTTAGATTAACATTTCAGCCTCTGAAAAGGAGAATGATGTTGACATTTATCCTGTAAGCTGAGGGAATAATGATTACATTTGCAGGACTCCATCCTTCTGCCCTGGTTTTCTTTGAAGTTAACATGAGTCTCTACAATTTTTCATGCTTGCTTTCCAATGGTTCCACAGAACACTACTCTCTGAGAATGTAGAACATGCCATTCAACAGCTCCCTGATTAAACACATGATCCAGAAGTCCTAATTCTATATTGCAGTTCTATGGAAGTTCACTTAAATTCACCTTACAGAATATCCACAACTCCTTCATCTAGATCAATTACACCTTCATAACTACTTCATATGCTGAATGGCACATCCAGATGCCTATATTTCTAATGAAATATTTATATGTATTTTTATTGTTTTTACCTCATATATTCACTATATTTTTATAGAAACTGTTCCAATTTTCTAATTACTCAGCAAAATTTTAAAATTTATGCAATTAAAGATATATTTTAAACTTCACCTCAAAAAGTCACTGAGAATGAACGCGTGTACTCTATGTGACTTGTGTATATGTATACACACATACACACACTACATTCAAAAGTTCTTTTTTAAAAATTTAATATTGGTCCTTCCCATCCACCAGTTAAACTTTTATTGGAAGTCAAATGACTTGTGTCTTTAAAGAAGGAACAAATTGAGGCTTATCTAATGTAATTCTACAAAGTGGTAAAACAAAGTCACACCACTAAAAGACCATGTCTCCAATACCACATATAGTAAATAAAGAGTCAGCTGTAGGTGTCCAGCTACTTACCACTTGGTAATGGTTGGGATCCCACACTAGAAGGGTATGGCGATGGCCCACCTGAAAGTTATGAGTTACTGGAGTGACTGCTGATCCAGCAGAAGAAATGTTTATACTTGTCAGTTTGTCCACATCAAAAGTCCTAAATATATTTGTCTGTAACAGGAAAAGGGGTCATAATTAACACCACAGAGTCTTGCTCTGTACTGTGTCATTGAACACTGTCATGGCATATTATTTGACATTGCTGGTGCATGTTCAAACATATTGAAAAATGATTTGGGGAGTTGGCATTGGTTTGTCTTAGCCCCTGACCCTTAAGGACTCTGCCATAAGGTTGCTTAGTACTACCAGAGGAATTATAGTTTTCATCCAGCATTTTACTTTTGTTTTATGAAAATAAATGCTATGGTAATCATGTCTATCATTGGGCAAAGAAGAGCATCAACCCTGGAGATAATAAATACTGGGCTGCGCCTAATACCAGGGATCAAACTTTCTTTTTTCTTTGAGATTATTAGTTTGGCAAGATCTAAGGTAGTGGTTCTTAACCATGTCTAAACAGGAATGAGATCAGTTCAATCAAAATCTGTGGGGGTGGGACCCAGGTATCAGAATTTTCAAAGCTTTCCAGGAGATTCCAATGTGGACTCAAGATTGAGAACCTTTAATCCAGACCAATGACTGTCTGCATCAGGTTTTTCCAACCTTGGCACTATTGACACATGGAACCAGATTACTCTTTGTTGGGATGGGGTGCTGTGTACATAGAAGATGCCAATAGCACTCCCAGGTGTGACAACAAAAATGCCTCCAGAGATTGTCAGATGTCCCTTAACTATATAACATCTGGTTTCTAGGATCTGGCCTCAGACTAAGGACATTAGGAGTCTAGTTTAGCCCCGTTGTGGGTCCAAAAGGCATGTGAATTAGCTTAGAAACTAACCATTATTAGAAAAGTTAGAACACAAAAGGGAAGTCCATCAAAAAGACACATTTCTGAAGTACTTTGTAAGCACTGAACTTCTTTTAACCAGATCTTTCAGGAGCTAATGTTGCCAAGAACAAGTTCCATAGACTTTTTCCCATTATATATTGCTCCTGGTGGAAGACCACTGACACAGACTTTGCTATTTAAATTGTGGGTCCATGCATTACCAGCAACAACATCACCTCAAAGCTTTTTAAAAATGAAGGTTAAAGACCTACCAATCAAGAATCTGCATTTTAACAAGCTCCCTCAGTAATTCATATGCCCATTAAAGTTTGATGTGCATTGGTCCAGTGTTGGGAACCATCCTGCCTGGTTTCAGAAGCTATAACCCCACCAACAGGTGAAAAGGCCTCACAGCTAGGGGACCTTGGGACCATAAGCCACTAAGGAGACAAAACTTATCCTCCTGGCAGGGGTGTAGCCTCTGTCCCCTTTACTTCACCTTGCTTGGCCTCTGAAGGATGGCTGGATAGTCAATGACTGGTAAGATTCCTCAAGAAAGGAACAACCTAAGACAGGCACAGTTGTGAATGGGGCATCAGGGAAGGACTTAGGGTATTGTGGAGAAGGGACACCACCCCCCCCTCAGCTTTATCATAGCCTGAATCCTCATTCTATCGGTAAAAGTCTCCTAATCTCTTGGTTTCCTTCCTTCCCCCACCTGATTCAGGCCTGAAACAATGCCAAACGGGGGTGCAGCCCTGTGCCAGAACTGGCAGTTCCCAGTGGCGGAAGGTGGGGGGGGGGGCGGGAATCAGGACTAAGAAAGACTGCATAAAGTCCTGTGAAACCTGCTTTGCTAAGAATGTCCTCAATTTAAATGTTAAGGGTCCAAGCACAAAATAAGTTTGTTTCCCAAGGTTTTATAGCCAATTGGCGTTACCCTGTCTACCAGACCCTGACTCAAAAGGACCCCTGTGATCCCAGAAATATTATCTGTAAACCGTACCTCCTTTCTTTGATATGCATCCCTATGCAAGATAAACTCAATAAAAGCCCACTGAGAGAGAGGCTAAACGCCTTTCTCCTCTGAGAGACTGGCCAGCCTTTCCTCTCCAAGCAGATCCTGTCTGGGTAGACTTATTCTCATCTGCCACATCTGGGGGATCTCTGTGGGCAGAGTCTCCCCACAGTCTAGAGTGAAGCCAAAAGATCAAGATAATAAGATATTTTCACTTCTGGGTTCCTCTTGGAATTTATACAAGGACCAAGAAGATTAGCTCCTGCAAATTCTATTATAACTCAGATCAGATGATGAAAAAGAAAACTGCAGTTCCTTCTACTTACCTGAGACAGTTGGACAAGGTGCACCGTCTCTTCAGGAAAATATATAGTCATATTATCATTTCCTATATTCAATACTTTAATTTGGACTTCGTTTCCTTTGGGGAAGACCGGAAGAGTTTTCTGAGCAAAATAAAACATAATTGGAAGTGAGGTCTTCAGTTTGTATGGAATATAATTTAACCATTGCACAGGAGTCACTTCCCCCAGCCATGGAAATCTGTTCTGGCTGAGGTGTACCAAATACCCCTCTGCCAACCTCCAATCTCTTACTTTATTGCACCCTTAGAAAATGATGTAATGAGAAAGAAGCTGTTCTTGTTCATATCTCAGATCTACCCATCTACCTGCAGGTCAAGGGATGCTAAGTTATGAACCCTAATATCTAAGGGGGTCAGAGTAACCATAGCTTAAATGAATACTTATTTTGTTGTGGCACCCAAGATGTGCTTTCCCTGGATGCCTCTCCTGTAACTCTGGAAGCTCAGACATCAGCCCTAGACTGGTACTCTAAACAGCCTCTCACAAACACTTTATGCCCTCCTGCCTCAGGGTTTTTGCCTTTTCCCTGCTTGTCCTCTCTCAAATTCCAGTGTCACTAAGCAATCTATTTCTAATTTAGCCCCATAATTCATTTTCCACAAGAATAGCTATGTTCAAGGGAAAGTGAGTACCATGATCTTAGTAGCATTATTAATAATAGCCAAGAGGTAAGACAAACCAAGTATCCATCAACAAATGAATGGATAAAATGTGCTATATCCATATAGAATATTATTCAGCCTTAAAAATATGCTATATTCATACAGAATATTATTTAGCCTTAAAAAGGAAGGGAATTCTAACACACACTTCACACGGTTGAATCTTGAGAACATTATGCTAAATGAAATAAGCCAGTCACAGACAAATACTGTATGATTTCACTTAATGCAGTGCCTACAATATTCAAATTCATAGAGACAGAAAGTAGAATGGTAGTTACCAGGGGTTGCGGGGGTGGCGAGGAGGAATGGGGAGTTGTTGTTGAATGAATATAAGGTTTCAGTTTGGGAAGATATAAAGCATTCAGGAGATTAAGTGCACAATAATGTGAGTGTACTTACTACTACTGAACTGTACACGTACAAATGATTAAGATAGTAAATTTTGTTATGTATACTTTATCACAATTAAAAATAAAAAAATAGAGCTCTGGCTAGTGTGGCTCAGTGGACTGAGTGCTGGCCTGTGAACCAAAAGGTCACTGGTTTGATTCCTAGTAGGGCACATGCCTGGGCTGCAGGCCAGGTCCCCAGTAGAGGAGCATATGAGAGGCAACTGACAGATGTATCTCTCACACATCAATGTTTCTCTCTTTCTTCCTCCATTCCCTGCTCTCTAAAAATAAATAAATAAAATCTGTTAAAAATAAAAATGAAAAAATAGAGAAGAAATGAGGGAGTAAGGGAGAGAGAGTGAGAGTGGTTGTGGGTGGGAGTGAGGGAGGGAAAGAGAGAGAGGGAGAGATCAGGTTTCTAGGACCTGATTTCAGACTAAGGGCATTAAAAGCCCACTTTAGTCCTATTTTGTGTTCAATAGCCATGTGAATTAACTTGGGAACTAACCATCATAAGGAAAGTTAGAATACAAAAGCCAAGACACTCATCAAAAAGATAATTTATACAGCTTTGAAGTACTTTGTGAGTGCTGAACTTCTTTTAACCAGATCTTTTAGGAGTTCATAAAAGAACAAGTTCTGTGGGCTGGATTGGGAGTAAAAGGGAGAAAACTGTACTTGAACAATGATTAAAATTAAAAAAAAAAAGAACAAGTTCCATAAACTTCTCTCCCATTATAAGAACTGCAGTGGGAGCTCCTTATGTAACTGTTGTCTAGTTTTTCTCCTAATTAAGTGTACCCATTTGACCTTATTCCTGGCATCCTTTGCAGAGCTAAGAATCCATAGTCCATGCTGTCAGGAAGGGACTATTTTGCCCCTTAGTACATCACCCATAGCTCCAGAACTTATTTTATCAGCAAAGATCATGGCCTGTCCTAATCCTTTTAGTCCTAGAGAAAGACTTCTGAACATCCCACCTGAGCTAAGAAAGGCCACTAGAGAATCAGAGGGCAACTCACATCAATTTCCACCTGCACAATTGCAGCTGCCACGAAAGCCATGGAAGCCAGGAACATTCCAACTGTCATCTTCTTCAAGGAGCTGATGGGACAAGCAAGAGTGATTCCCAATCAGCTTCAAACAAACAAGCTAATGACAAATTCCCCAAAGAAGCACTCCTCTCCTACCATCCCCCCAAACAAAACTAACTTCCCTCCCAAAATACATGAGATTGAGAGCATCTCTTCATCTGTTTTTCATCATCAAGACTAGGGATGCTAAATGTAATACAGCTTCTCATTTACATTTTTACATTTAATTTCTAGAAATTTCATTATAATCCTGGTGATACTTTGGATTATAGTTAACATTTCTATTGTCTAGATTTTGGGGGAAGAAGAAATTTTTCTCTACCTTTCTGGGTTCTTTCTGCTGGTTTAATGATCAAATTGACATGTATTTCATGTCAATTTAACAAGAGATTAACAAGAGAAAGTAACCAAATTTCATTGTATACATATGTATGGGAACCCTATATATATGAGAGGTTCAGAGACAGAAAGGGAAAATGAGGTATATGCCGCATCCTGAGTCAAGGAATGATGAAAGATGCCTTGGGCCTTCTGAAGGAAGAAGCACAGTTTGCAAGATGATAAGAGAAGCAGGTGTTCAGCAATTTAGATATTTATTCTGCCATATAGATAAGTCATAAAAAGTTATTTCTGGTAATGACTCATTATGGGCAAGCCCCCAAATTTAAATTCTTTAAGGGAGAGGTAAAAGTTTTTTGTAAGCCCGTAGGGTCTGGATTGCTTTCAGCTCAAGACCCCCAATTTAGATTCTTCTAGGTAGTGTAGGGAGGGTCAAAAGATTGTCCTGAGCCTGTAGGGTCTAGATTGTATTCAGCTGAAAATACTCTGTAGACCAAAGTGGCACACCCTGGGGAAGCCTGTTCTGAACAGCCTTCAATATATAAAAAAGAGAGCCTTAATTACAGGCTTTTACAGGCTGCTGTAAATAGCACATTTAAGGACAAATTTTCAGAAACATCAGCACACAGATATCTATTTCAAATATATTTCTTTAAAAGCCCCATTATATAGTTGGTGTTGTGGGAGGGAAGAAAGGCTTCTTTCCATAGAGGTCTGGAAGCTGAGGGAGTGCAGTCTAGTTGCAAAGCTCTAAGACTAATGGAGGCTCCCACCAACCTCAACACTAAGGTCACCTACGTGAAGTTGAAACCACATTTTGCAATCAGAGGATACACCACAGTATCTACGATGGGGACCATGATGACGATCAAGATGGCGTTGACAGTCTGCAGGTAAAGTGGAGATGAACAGTTACCATTGTCTCAAAGGTGACTTTGATTTCCAAAAGCAATTTAAATATTGTCTTACCTGCATCTGATCTGGCTGAATTTCAATAATTCCCTAGAAATGGGGGTGGGGGGAATCTCATTGAGTTGATCATCTAGTTTCCACAGATGATCAATTTGGGGTTTGAAAATGTCATGAAAGGAAAAGAGAAAGGGGACAAAGGGACTAAAGCAAAGAAACAGTGACCAGGGGAGTTAAAATATCCTGATGGCTCAAACTTACAATTTTCCCACTCATAGTTGTTGCTTGAAGTGTCCACCTTGAACCCTTAAAAATAAATAAGTTTACTGCATCATTCAGAGCATGGGTTTTAAACATTTTACAAGTTGATACTGAGTTTTTTTCCAAATCAGGAAGGAGGTCTGAAATGTTGCAGGATTTACAATTTTTTTTCAACGTCAAGTTTGTTTCCTAGTTCCACTGTGATACTGGATGAGAAGAAACAACTTGCATTTCTGCTCTGCAAGTTAACATAACATATAGTACCCCCACCCCCACAAGGAATCTACAAAGTACTACTCTGAGAGAAAACTTTCCTCAGGAAAGACAAAAATGCTTTTCTGAGGCTTGTTGGGAAGCAAGACATTACCTGCAAGGTGAAAGTAGCTTTATACCCTGAAGATATTCTACATTCACTGGCATCATAGTGTCAAGAACATTATTATTGCTAAGAATCATTTTTGACAGGATAGGATGTCCGAAAATGTGATTCTATGAAGAGACTGACAAATTTAAACCTGGGCAGCCTCATTACATTCAATCTATTTTATAGGAAAAGATGACTCAGGACTGTATAAATATATATGATCATTTCCATGGAGGACTAAAGATATAAATGTGTCCATATAATCTATCAACTCCACTAAGAGAACATCATAGAAAGTCATGAAATACACTGTTTGAATTATTTTTCTTTTTTAAATAGTTCATTTTTTATTGTGTATTTTTTCCATTACCATTAATTATTTGAATTCTTCATATATGCCAGTCTCTGGTTACTTTGTATATGTTCTCAATTTTGATCCTCACAACTTTGCCATCTGTTATTACCCTTTTAGATAGGTTAAGGGATTACCCCAAGTCACACAGCTAAAAGGTGATGAACGTATTTCTAGTGCAAGTCTAAATCCAATAATAGCTTTGTATTCAACATGCAAAACCACCTCCTGGTCTTTAAAATGCTGTTCTAAATTCCGTATTTACAAATAAGGAGAATAGTGTGTACACTCAATTTTTTTCCAAGAGATGGTTTACCCTTATAATAATCCTTCCTGCACAATAAAATTATTCATGTTTATAAATTTTTTTGAAATTCAATTTTCTAAAAGGAATAATATCTTAGGACTTTGATTAGTAGGCATCATACATTGAATTATCTAACCCTATGTTGAAAAATTCCTAGGTACACATCTTATAGCTGTGGGAGAAAGAGCAGGTGACATGCCAGTGATCAGGGTTCTAGTTCCCTGCTCTAATAAGAATGACTTTCCATCCCTGGATGATACTTTTAAACCAAGCATTCCATTTTACAAGAGAAGATATCAAGTCCTTGTCAGTTTAAATATTCTGTGGATCCCATAAAAGGTAATACATCCATTTACCATGATGCATCAGTAGAAAAACTCTTTCTTCTCAATTTTTTGTTTAATTTTCTTTTTTTCCTCAGTTTTTCTTTTTTAAAAATTTTCTTTAGTCTCAGTTTTGATTTGAAAGAGTCTTGGACACTTGATCAAATCTTTCCTAAGGCTCCTTTACTTGACCACATCTAATTTCTTTGTTGTTTTGCAGCACAGATGTGGATAGAACCATCTAGAGTTGGTTTTTTAAAGAGAGATACAATGTGATTAAGTGGTCAAATACATGAATAAAAGAGAAACTGGAAGAGAACCTTTTTAAGAGCTAGATACTAACTATGGCTTGGTACATGGTGACCAAAGGATGTTTGCTACATGAAGATGTACAAAAACAGTTTCACATTACCTGCTGATCAAACAAGGCCCAGAACATGGGGAGTGGAATATACAGGAACATCACCTTTGTAACCATCTTAATTTGAGAGATAAGCCGCTCCTGTAGTTGGAGTGGGGGAGGGACAAATAGGAACCACCTGTGTTACAGTTATCAGCAATGTTAGTTTCAGTGTAGACATTTACATCTAAAGGCAACTTGGGTGGTAGTTAACAGTTCTAAAATCCCTTCCTCAGGTTTCTTTGGAAAAGCAAAACTTCCTAAGCTATTTAAAATATGAGTGAAAATGTCTGTTTAGGAGGTAAGTTACTCGAATTTATATTTCAATTTAACTAAATGTAAATTCCACTACCATCTTTTAATTGTTCTATGTTCAAACTAAAGTTATGTGATCACAATTAAATATAATGATTGGCAGACTGTATCAAATGAAAATCTATGTCAAGATAATATTGTTTCCAGAAACCCTTTGCTTCCTTGCACAACCAAAAGGAGGATAACAACCAATCTGAAATCAGTAAACAACCAGAAGTGCCAGAAAATTGAACTGCATGGAACTCCAACAACCATGGAATTAAAGAAACAGTCAGACAGAACAACCAGGCCAGTAAGGTGGCGGACACAGAGAAACCTTGGTGAGGCAGTGGACAGTGGGGGTGGGGCTGGCTGCAGACTTTGCGAGAAGAGCTGACTTAAGGGGAAACTGAGACTCAGAGGTGAGTGAGGACTATAGCAGTTGCTGAGGTGAGAGAAACTCCCAGTCTCACATGAAAGCTCATTGAAAAGTGGGCTAGAATGAGCAGGAGAGGTGCATTGTTCCTCCTCTGGACCCTCCCCCACAGGAAGCGCCCCAGTGCAGAAAGGAGGTTTGTCCTGCCTGGATGAATACCTAAGGCCCTGCCCACTTACAACATAAAAGGAGCCCCAAACAAAGAAATAGGGCTAAAATTAAAGAACAAAGCAAAACTTCAGAAAGAAAGCTAGGTGATGAGGAGATAGCCAACCTATCTGATGGAGAATTTAAAGCCCTGGTAATCAAAATGATCACAGAACTGATTGAGCTTGGTTGAAAAATGAAAGAGCAAATGAAAGATACCCACAATGAAATAAAGCAAAATATTCAGTGAACCAACAGTGACAGGAAGGAAACCAGGACTCAAATCAATGATTTGGAACAAAAGGAAGAAATAAACATCCAACTGGAACAGAATGAAGAAACAAGAATTCAAAAAAGTGAAGAGAAACTTATGAACCTCTGGGACAACCTGAAACATTCCAATATCCAAATTGTAGGGATGCCAGAAGGAGAAGAACAGCAGCAAGAGACTGAAAACTTATTTGAACAAATAATAAAGGAAAACTTCCCCAATCTGGTGAAGGAAATAGACTTCCAGGAAGTCCAGGAAGCCCAGAGGGTCCCAAAGAAGTTGGATCCAAAGGGGAACACACAAAGGCACATCATCATTAAGTTACCCAAGATTGAAGACAAAGAGACACTCTTAAAAGCAGCAAGAGGAGAGGAGACAGTTACCTACAAAGGAGTGTCCATAAGGCTATCAGCTGATTTCTCAAAAGAAATCTTACTGGCAAGAAGGGGTTGGAAACAAGTATTTGAAGTCATGAAAGGCAAGAACCTATATCCGAGAATACTCTATCCAGCAAAGCTATCATTTAGAAGGGAAGGGCAGATAAAGTACTTCCCAGATAAGGTCAAGTTAAAGGAGTTCATTGTCACCAAGCCATTATTATATGAAATGTTAAAGGAACTTATCTAAGAAAAGGAAGATCAAAAATATGAATAGTAAAATGACAACAAACTCACAACTATCAACAAATGAACCTAAAAAAAGTAAAAGAAAAAACAATGAAAACAAAAACTAAGCAAACAATTAAAACAGGAACAGAATCAGAGAAATGGACATCACATGGAGGGTTTTCAGTGGGGAGGGGGAGGGGAGGAATGGGGAAAGGTACAGGGAAGAAGAAGCATAACTAGTAGGCATTAAATAGACAGGGAGAGGTAAAAAATGGTGTAGGAAGCAGGGAACTCAAAGAACTTATCTGTATAACCCATGGACATGAACTAAGGGGGAATGCTGGAGGGCTGGGGTGCAGGGTACAGGGGGGATAAAGGGGGAAAAATTGGGAAAACTATAATAGCATAATCAATAAAATATACTTAAAAAGATAATATTGTTTCTAGATAAATTATATCCATTATTCATCAAGTTCTTTTCAATATGAAAAAACAGACTCCCAGAATCTTACTTAATGTGATATAAAGGTTCTAAAGATATAGCTGATTATCTTGTCCATGAAGCCTTAACAATATGAGTTGCAACTATGGATGTTCACTTTCTAGAGGAAAGTGACTGGGACCACTGTAGCAATAATGATCACTTACATCATACTTCTCTTTGGCCCAGTCCAGCCAGTGCTCCCTTTTGGGAAATTCCTTACTCCGGTGCCTAAACCTATTTTTGATGGCAAACTGAAAGAAAGAAGAAAAAGGAAATTTCAAAACAGGACTGATTACTTTACCAGGAAAACACATTTCAATTAAACTCCTTTTCATGGAAAACTTGTGAGAGAAGCAAAATAGAAAGTTGTATACACTAATATATATATGACAATGCTAAAAGGCATGACATGCATTTATCTAATCTTTTACTAACTACGAGTGTGTGAGTTTAAAGTAAACAAAGTCATTCTGTTACTACTCTACTCTCCAGAGAGGAACATTGAATAGAAATATAAGGTGACATTTATGTTTTCTGTCAGCCATATTAAAAAGCAAAAAGGAAACAGGTAAAATTAATTTAAAATATATTTTCTTTAACTCAAGAAACACAAAACATGATCTTAATATGTAATTGATATTTTAAAAACTCATAAGTTTTACATTCTTTTTTTAAACCAAGCCTTTGAAATGCAGGGTATACTTTATCCTCACAGCACATTTTAATTTGAATGCTAAATTTTTGTTAGAAATATTTGATCTGTATTTACATTTCATAAAATTTGTGTGAAAAACTAGATTTATATACCCATGTTGTTCCAAATATACTTTATAGTTTTCCAATACCTGAACTAAGTATTGGTTTTTAAAATCTAAAAGAACACATTACATAGAAATACATTATAAGAAATCATATAATTTAAATTAATTGAAATGAAATCCAATTAAAAACTCTGTTCCTCTATTGAACTTTCTGCATTTCAAATGCTTAATAGCCACATGTGGCTAATATCTACCATATTAGATAGTAAAGGTCTATAATAAATGGATCATAGCTACACAAAGAACAGTGAAAACCCACTACACGGAAATGGATTTATAAAAAAATAAAGGTTATAGTTGAACATGTTTTAACATAGTACATTAACACTGATTAGAAAAATATACTGACCACCCATCATAAAACCAGGGGTTTCTAAGATTCCTTGTTAATAAGAGGCCTTTAGGAAAAGCAAAGCGCATTTATATATGTAACACTAAGAGAAAGAGATGGTGGGGTTGGTTGGGAACATGGATGTGACTAAAAGGCAGTAAATAACTCAAAGCTGTGGGTTATTTTGGATGCTGGGCAATACAGTTCTCATGACTCTAAAGAGCCTGAAGTTGTTCTTTTGGAGTTTGAACTAAGTTGTCAATTACTAGGGAAGTAAGAACTTGAAGAGACCATTGGTTAGATCCTTCCCTAACTTGGAAAAAAGTCTGTGAAGGGAATCAATCTAATTACTGTTAGAGGAAAGTACAAAAAGAAAAAAAATAGTTGAAAGGAAAGATAATGTTTTTGATTTTGAGAGGACACATTTATTTCATGAAGTAAAGTGCACATGTATAATTTAATGCAATAAAGCTAGGCGGAGGGAAAGTAAGTGACCTAACATTGCCGTAAGGCTGCCTTCACATCCCCCAAATTATCCACACATTGTTTTTACAAGTAAATGACACATTTTCCCCTGGTTATACAATGTATACATATTCACTAAAAAAAATGGGAGAAAATAGGGATTATTTGACTCCATTATTTAAAGATTCCTACACTCAACATTTGTTTCCTGACTTTAAATGTGCCTATATGTACATACACCATGTGGATGTATATGGAGGAATTCATATTCTGCATGTTCCTGTCACCAGATAGTCTTAGAAGACAAGACTTCTGATGACTGCATAATATGGCATAGATGTGCTGTAAGTTAGGCGTTATTCTCCCATTATCTGCAACTTGGAGGACTTAAATTTTTGCTGCTGTAAATATTTGTTTTGTGTTGTTGTTTTTGGTATTGTAAATATTACAAATATTTATAATATTTCATATATTCATTTATCAAATATTCATTTATAAAATTTACTTTTTTAGCCTGATTCCTGAAAGTAGTATTAACTGATACTTTCAGTTCCTCAGATTCCCAATGCACAGCAGCGCCCAACCATGCCTCCTCCTTTTTTGTTTCTCTGCTCTCTGACAAAGGGCAAACTTTGTTTACCATTTTGATAGGTGAAGAGTCACTTTGATTTGATTTTCTTTGACCACTAATCTTATACGTTCAAGAGTCATTGCTGTCCTTCCCTTTTTGAGTTCTGTTGTGTCTTTTTCCATGTGGTGAGTTTTATAAGAAGCATCAGTTTATCAAAATACAGGGGTGGGCAAAAGGAGGTTTACAGTTGTGAGTATACAAAACACAGTTATTCTTGTATTAATTACTTATTGATTAAACATTGTATTATTTGTCTCCTTCTTCTCCTTCTCCTTCTTCTCCTTCTTCTCCTTCTTCTCCTTCTTCTCCTTCTTCTTCTTCTTCTTCTTCTTCTTTTCATATCCTTACTTGCGATTTACCTTTTAGGTAATGATGGCAGATAATTTAACTTACTTTTGCCCACCCCTGTAGTAAAGAACACTAATAAAATGCTTAAAAGAAAGTTAACATTTCATTGAATTTTAATTTGAAGAAGGTGGAAGGTTCTAGGTTGACTAAAAATGCCATTGAGAGAGAGCTACTAAGATACTTACACCAATGCACTTTACTACTTTCTCCATGATGTTACCCTGGGGCTGGAACTTCTTGTACATACTACTGCCAAGGACAAATACAACTGGACAAAGGAAAAGAATATGTGTTAACAGGGTATTGTCAAAACTACTTTAGACCTAGAAGATGTGCTTTTATTTCAGTTATAATCTTGTTTCAGATATACTAGGATTACTCATAGAATGGGTTTACCTACCTACCTCCCAGTTTAGAAAATGCTTTTGATTCTACCAATCACAGGAGCTTCTGAGCAATGTTATATTTGTGTTCTCACATATAAAAATGAGGTCTACTACTATCTACTTCCCAGAACTTGGGGCCGCTCAAAGACACTAAATATGGTTATTTAGACACAAATTCTTTCACTGTGTAAAGGGAGAAAAAAGGAATAAGTGCTTTCACATAACAGATTAACGTATTACTCTATACAGACTAAAACCAGCTTTATTTTTCCAGTTGCAATGACAGGAGAAAGTTTCTTTTTATAATCTTCAGAAAAACATAGGAACTAATCTTTTGAAACTTTTACTTAATCAAATGTGACAAAACTTATTCTGTGCTCGTGGTCCAGAAACATAGCTACAGTTTTACACAAGACAAAGCACTTATACAAGGAGGCAATTCTTCCATGAACCCTGTTAGGAAAGACATATTATTTTTTAAAAAATCTTAGGAAAAAAAGCATTTCTGAAAGAAACTCTAAAAACATAATCCCTGTACCAGAATTTCTGATTATCCAATACAAGAATTCAAAATTTTTAAAACACCAATGAATTGTCTGAATTAGATCCCCCCTCAATTAAGAAAGGGCTTGAGATTTTGAAAGGTGCTAATTCTCAAGCATATCTCCAAATTGAAGAAAAGGGAGCTTACTCATATTCTCACCCAATGTCAATTTTCCTCAACCCAGACATGGATGGGAGAGGTTGAGTGTACATTTTTTGCTAATTAATATTTTAATCTTTAAGCTTCTGATTAGCTAATTCAAGCAAAAGACTGCTGCAGATAGAAATTTCTAGAGTTGGTGTTGATACATAGGATTTGGCCTGTTCTCAATTCTTCCATTAGCATAATCTTTGATGTAGGAGGGACTCATACATACTAAATGACTACTTACCTAATACCAACTTAATACAGTGTCCAGCCTAAAACAACATTTTTTGAAATCCTCTTTATCTCCACTTCCTTATCCAGAATTAGAGAAGAGAAGGCATATATGAGCCTTTTAGGGGAGTAGGGGAGTAGGGAAGTATTTAAACAATTAGGGAAGAAATTGGACATATACAAAAAGGAGAATGCTGAACTCTTACAAAAGTGTATAGAAAAAGTTCAATTTCTACATGAGCAAAAGATGTTTAAAAGGTGCATACTTGATACTATTAAGAATTGAAAAAATCAGCAGGGAAAGTGACAGTGCTTTGAATGGGAATAGCAGCTAAGAAGGCTTGAGACGGCAAACTGGGCTCTGTTTCCTTCTTGTACTACTGTTATAGGTTGAATTATGCTCCATGTCCTGCCTCAAATATGTTGAAGTCCTTATCCCCAGGACCTCAGAATGTGACAAGGTAAGATGAGTCATTATGGTGGCCCTACTCCAATATGACTGGTAGCCCTATAAAAAGGGGACATTTGGACACACAGAGGGAAGGGCATAGGCAGATTGACATTATGCTACCACAAGCCAGGGTGCTTCAAGAGGGAGAGAGGCCTGGAAGAGATTCTTCCCAGGGTCTTTAAATGGGAGCATGACCCTTCTGACACATTGATCTTGGACTTCCAGCCTCCAGAACTGTGAGACAATAAATAAATTTCTGGTTGGTTAAGCCACTTAGTCTGTGGTATTTTGTTATGGTAGTCCTAGGAAATGAAGACCCCTATCATGTCTCACACTAGATTGTCCCATGTAGAAATCTCTTTACACTTTTTAAAAAGCTAGTGCCAAGAACTTGTGTGCAAAGGAATGCATCTAAAATAAACATATATATTATGATAGAAACATTTGAGATGATACCTTATAGAAATCTAGATGGTACTGAAGGTATTTAAACAATTGGACTAGGTTGCCATGTCTTCAAGTTGTAGATGGTCACATGTTGACAGGAAGAAAAACTTTCAGCAATGGGATCAACCAGTTTAGCCTATTCTATCAACTTCATCTTATAGTATCAAGCCTAAAGTATCACTAGCCTAAATAGTATCACACCTTTAGATGTTCAACTCAGTTGATCCCTTTTTCTGTAAAACTTCTTTGACCTTATTCCCTCTGAAAAATGCCAAGGCTACTTTCTTTAAATTCCCAGAGCATGTTTAACATAGGATGACAATTCTTCATACTACATATTATTATAATTTGTTACAGGAACTTTTAAAAATTGGTCACAATAATTAATGTGAAGGCCTGATCTGATCATAGGATTATATTAATTCAACTCATTTCTACTTACTCAGAGCAACAGCCATGAGAGCAGCAGGAACCCCAAATGCCAATGGGTAACAAGCTTGCTTACTGTGAATCCCACATTCTTGAACTGGGGAGAAATTACAAGATTAAAGCTTATTATGGCATTGATAATGTTTATCTAGTTTCCATTTTAAAAATCCCTAACTGGTTATTACATATTTGTTTACACTTAATCTTCTAGACTTATCTATTTGCCTTACTGACACAGCAGAGAAGTTGTTGAGTAGCTTCATTAAACCAGCTCACATGGAGCAGGCCAATGACATTGAAATGCTGGCACCCCAGGTCAGAGGTGGCCAAGCTTGGGAAGGGATTAACTGCTAGGATCAAAGAAATAATTGACTTGGAATTTTTGAAATGATCCCTAACATACTGTAATGATGTGCTTCCTCCTCTGTAACAAGACTGGGTTTTTTTCTGTCTTTTTGCCTGACCACTTCAGCTACTGGAACATTTGAGGCCATTTCAGGATTTGGCCTCTCTGTAATTAAGTGGATCCTGATTGTCAGGTTTTCCCCTTATTTCCCTGGATATTTTGATGGTCAGTATTGGGTCTAGTGGCTGTTGCTGGTTTTAGGCTTTCTCCTGTTTCTCAAAGGATATGTCAATTATGATGTCAGAAACTTTCTCTCGTTTGTTTGCTTATCTTTATTTTGTTGTGGTCCATTCAATTCCTTGTTCACGACCACCAAGAGCCTGGACCTCATATCCATCTGCAACAATTTGGCAGCCGAGCAAAGGAGTTTTGTAGTAGAAAGAGCAGGAGATGGAGACTGGTCTAATTTCAACCCTTAAGTAGATATCTGATACTAGCTAAGCCAAAATCAGTTCTTATGTCTAGTGGGTTTTCTTAGTGGGGGAGTTAAAAATAACCAGAATATTCAGTAAATAAAATCAAAAGTGACTTGGAAAATCATGGTTGCATGTTCCTGAATTCATGCCAATTTGAAAACAATTAGATGACTCAGGGCAGAGGTCAACAAACTTTTCTGTGAAGAGCCAGAAAGTGAATATTTTAGTAAAAATATGGGCCATTTAGTCCTTGTTCCAACTACTCAACCCTGCTTTTGTAGGGTGAAAGGAGCATTAGACAATACATGAATGAATGGTCTTTACCATATTTCTGGATTTGGCCTGTGAGCCATAGTTTTGCTAACCCCTGACTGAGGAACAATCTCAACTCTGAAATCCTAGGGTTGGTATGAAAATAATTAAGACTTTTGGAAGGGGCAACAGAGAATTCTGGAAATCCTTTTAATGGAATGCTGGAACCTCTGTGAATCTGATCTTAAGGGGGTTTTAACTTTGTCTTTGACTAGCTATTTCATAATTCTGTAGAGCAAGAAGTTAACTAATAGACAGCTAATAGTCACACAATGTTTCCTATTCATGGCAATACAAATAAATTCCCTCTCTGTAAAGAATATAAATAAATCCCTATTAGTCAAATTCCTATTTCAACTGACTACTATCCAATTTCCTCATTAATTAATAAGTTATATAAAATATTTGTCACATGCTTATTTCATATTTGTGTGAGAGTCACGATTTTACCTTTAAAAAAAGTTATACTTTAAGACACTCTCTAATTCAAATATGCATAGTAGATATTCTAGTAGGTGGGGAGGTAGGGAAGGTGAGGGAACATAAGAATAAAAACTACTAAATTTTTATAATACAAGTTGAAATGTGGTTTAAGTATCATCTCCAAACCACTAGTCTATGCAGATATCCAGAAATCCTCACAAAATATTTTATTTCATAATTTAAAATGATTCAGTGTGCATATCATAATCTTGTTTTGGTCTAATTTGTTCCCAAATATTCCCTTCCATGTCAAAAATCCACAAACTCTCAATGTATCATTAGTAAGCATAAAAATATGAGTGATGTTGCTAGTTGCTATCTCATCCTCTACTTTCAGCAGTTCTTTCTGAAATATGTGAGATAATAGAAAAGCAAAGAATAAGACCTTGCCCACAAAATTCTTCCTAACTCACTGAACATCACTGGGGAGCAAAATTTGAAGGCAAAATGTGTGGTTTCCACAGCCTCTCCTATCTCATCTTTTACCATGAATAAGGACTTTGCATTGGTAATAATTTAGAAAAATTGACTGTTATGCTAAGGATGCCATAGATTCTTCAGTAGTCATTAGGATAAGGAATTCAAATAAGATGGAAATGAGATAAAACTCAAAAGAAAAGAAGTGCATATTCTGATTTCAATGTGTACTCCAGTGTGCCTGGTAGCTGAAGTATAATTGGAGACTAAAGACACAAAACAGACAAAGCAAGGACTTAAACTTTTAATCTGACTTTCTCCCCACAATTAAAAAAAGGAAAACAGTAGTCCCCTTCTGATATTTTTACCTCGGAGAATGGGAGTGATGATAGTAGAAAGCAAACTTCCAGCATTAATGGCCAAATAAAAGATGGAAAAAAATCGGTTTCTTTGTTTTTCCTATAATAAAAAGGATAAAGTTAAAGTATAATGACTTTGGCTATATATCAACTGATCAAATGTAGCTGATGACCTGATTTACTTCTCAGATTTGGTCAGTGTCATACTTTCAAGTCTACTTGAAAAGAATTGGAACTGGAGAGCATTATGGTAAGTAAAATAAGCCAGGCAGTGAGTGGTAAATACCATATGATCTCACCTTTAAGTGGAAACTAATCAATGAAACAAACAAGCAAGCTAAATATAACCAGAGACATTGAAATTCTGACAGTAACTAGAGGGTAGGTGGGAAGGGATAATGAGGGGAAGTTGGGAGGGGAGAGAGTTTTCAAGAGCAACTATAAAGGACACATGGACAAAATAAAGGGGAGTTGGAAGCAGGATGGCTGGGGTTGGGGGGAGGGGGGTAAATGCAGACAACTGTAGTTGAACAACAATAAAATAATTTAAAAAAGAAAAAAGAATCCAGTGGAGAACAGACTTTGTATCAGTAGAATTTGAGTCCTGGAGGTTTATCATTCATTTATCTGGTGTCTGTGAATGCATGTGCTCTTACCTGGCCCTCTTCAAACTGATCTCCACCAAATGCAGACACACAGGGCTTGATTCCTCCAGTACCAAGAGCTATCAGTGCCAGGCCAATCATGGACAATGCCCTAGAGAAAGAACAACGGGGTGGGAGTTATTGCTGAAATGTAAGATCCTTATAAGCAGGAGCCTCTTGTTTCCTAATTTCCCTCTGAGGACCAGGTGCAGCCGTAAAAACAGAAAAGGGACACAATCTATATGAGAAGAAAATGTACAGACATGCAGTCTTGATGGGTGAATGGAATTTGATCTCTTGGACCTTTAAGCTTATACCATTATCTAATAATTTACTAGCTAGAAACTTTAAAGTTATAGCTTTAATACTGAATAAAAATTTTTGTAAGGAGTTCTTTTGCAGCCTTATCATTTTCAGTAAAAGAATAGATAAGTGAAATGTTTAAGCATTGTCTCTGGTATAATCTTAATAGACTCATAACAGTCATTAAAAGCATTAAAAACATGATTTAATTGCAAAGCAGAATATCAAGTTATTTGGTATGTTCTTGTTTACAGAAGACCAGAAAAAAAGTAGAGGAGAAGATTTATTATTATAATCTTTCACAATATTAAAATATTATTTATAATAATTAGAAGGGATAAAAGTTATTTATTTTTATTTACTTTTGCATTTTCCAACTTATCTATAAATGTTTTACTTTCTGAATTGAAAAAAAATCACTCGTAGAATTTACCAACCCTCATTTTGTAGTTCATTGAATTATAGCAGGTACTACAAATTTTAGATTTTATGATTTTTTCCATATCTTCTTGGTTGCTATGTTGCTTTAAAATGCTAAAAAATATTTGATGGAAAAGATAAAGTCAAAGGAGATACTGCACATAAGAATTTTTTAAAAATATATTTTATTGATTATGCTATTACAGTTGTCCCATTTCCCCCCCTTAACTCCCCTCTACCCTGCACACTCCCTCACATCCACATTCCCCCCTCCCTTTAGTTCATGTCCATGTGTTATGCATATAAATTGTTTGGCTTCTACTTTTCCCATACTATTCTTGCCCTCCTCCTATTTGTTTTTTACCTACCATCTATGCTACTTATTCTCTGTACCACCCCCCCTACACCTCCCCTGTTGATAACCCTCCATGTGATCTCCATTTCTGTGGTTCTGTTTCTGTTCTAGTTGTTTGCTTAGTTTGTTTTTGTTTTTGTTTCTGTTTTTGTTTTAGGTGTGATTGTTAATAACTGTGAGTTTGCTGTCATTTTACTGTTCATATTTTTTATCTTCTTTTTCTTAGATAAATCCCTTTAACATTTCATATAATAAGGGCTTGGTGATGATGAACTCCTTAAACTTGACATTATCTGGGAAGCACTTATCTGCCCTTCCATTCTAAATGATAGCTTTGTTCGATAGAGTCATCTTGGATGTAGGTCCTTGCCTTTCATGACTTCAAATACTTCCTTCCAGCCCCTTCTTGCCTGTAAGGTCTCTTTTGAGAAAGCAGCTGACAGTCTGGTGGGAATTCCTTAGTAGGTAACTGCTTCCTTATCTCTTGATGCTTCTAGGATTCTCTCCTTCATTTTAATCTTGGATAATGTAATTATGATGTGCCTTGGTGTGTTCCTCCATGGGTCCAACTTCTTTGGGACTCTCTGAGCTTCCTGAACTTCCTGGAAGCCTATTTCCTTCATCAGATTGGGCAAGTTCTCCTTCAGTATTTTTTCAAATAAGTTTTCAATTTCTTGCTCTTCTTCTTCTCCTTCTGGCATCCCTATAATTCGGATATTGGAATGTTTAAAGATGTCCTGGAGGTTCCTCAGCCTCTCCTCATTTTTTTGAATTCTTATTTCTTCATTCTTTTCTGATTGGATGTTTCTTTCTTCCTTCTGGTCCACTCCATTGATTTGAGTCCCTGTTTCCTTCCCATCACTATTGGTTCCCTGTATATTTTCATTTTTTTCACTTTGCATAGCCTTCATTTTTACATCTAATTTGTGACCATAGTCAATCAATTCTGTGATCACACCAAAACACACCCTGATTAGCTGTGTTTTGAACTGCATCTGACAGGTTGGCTATCTCTTCCTTGCTTAGTTGTATTTTCCCTGGAGCTTTGATCTGTTCTTTCATTTGGGCCACTTTTTTTGTCTTGAGATGCCTGTTATGTAGTGAGGGGCAGAGCCCTAGGTATTCCCGAGGGTGGGGCAACCCAGTTGCTGTTTTGTGACACTGTATGTGGGGGAGGGGTTTGAGAGGGAACAATGGCCCTTGCTCCACTCTCTGCTGGATTTCAGTCACTTCCCTCGCTTCCCCCAAGCAAATTGGGCCCTTCTGGTGCTAATTCCTGGGTCGGTGGGTTTGTGTACATTCTAGGACCTTGTGAGTCTCTCTAACAAACTTTCCTGTGAGGGTAGGAGTTTCTCCAGCTGCCGCCACAACCCCCACAGGTGTTTTCAACCAGTGGTTTGAGCCTTTATTTCCCCGCCCTGGGGCACTGGGTTGTGTGGTCCATCCCGCTCCCGCTTTGTTTCTCCTGTTTTATCTGCATGTGAATGTGGGACCGCCTGGTCCACCAGCCGCTGCCCTGCCAGCCAGCTGCAGTCTTGTGCACCCCATTCCACAATCCACCACCTCGCTGGGCCCACCAGCCTTGCTGTGAGTCCTCTCTGCCCCGACTACCCAACTTGCCCCTCCTATCAGTCTGGAAGAATGTGTCTTCTTTAACTCCTTGGTTGTTGCACTTCCATACAGTTTGATTTTCTATCAGTTCTGATTGTTTTTTGTTTTTAAATTGTTGTTGTCCTTCTTTTTGTTGTGAGAGGAGGCACAGTGTGTCTATGTATGCCTCCATCTTGCCAGAAGTTCAAGAAAGACTTCTTTAAAAAATCATGTTCATCTTCCCAAATTAGCTGATTGAAGAACCTCTTTCATTGTTTGCTTCTTAATACAACTTAAGTGCTCTCACTCTAAGCATTTTTTCATTCCAGAGAGAGAAGAAAGGAGCAAGAAAAAGAGAGAGAAACATCAATGTGAGAAACATCAATTAGTTGCCTCCTGTGCATGCCCTGACCAGAGACTAAACCTGGGAACTGAAACTGCAACCTTTTGGTTTATGGAACAACACTCCAACCAACAGAGCCACACTGGCCAAGGCTGTCACTCTAAGTCTTTCAGAATACAACAAAAACATGGCTAATTGAATATAGTATACCATGCACTGTTGTAAGAATTGTTAGTATTAAATATTTTAATACTAACTCCATCAAATAAAATAAGTAAGCTTTCTTGAGTACTTCTCACTCACCAGACAATGTTCCAGGTGCTCTATTTGGATTAACACACAATAGTCCTAGATGAGATAGGTGATTCCTATTATGAATAAGGAAACTTAGGCATGGAGGTTAGAAAACTTGCTTAAGATCACACAACTAGTAAAGGGCACAGCCAGAATCTGAATCCACATAGCCAGGCTACAGAGTCTATGTTGTTAATATTGTAGATTAGAAGATTGAGGCACAGAGAAGATAAATTGCCCTCGGTCTGGAAGTCAAATACTGGAAGCCTGAGCTGCCAGACTGAGCTAATAACCACTCCCCTCAACCAACACAGTTCCCTATGGGCTCTGAGAGTATTGCATCAAGGGACCTAGTGTGGACAGCGATCTGACTGATGAACAAACCAGAAATACAGGGACTCAGGATATGAATTTGAATTTCAATGATATTTTTCCAACCAATAAGATGGTTTACTTAGAGATCCAGGAACTGAAGCACAGGAACAGGAAACAAACTAAATCTTTGTAACATGTCTACTAGACCAGACTGCTGTGAAGAGAAATTAGTCTCACAGAGGAGCATTTGTCAATAGCAGTTTTGATCAAGGACTCAGAACACAGGATTCAAACAAATATTTATGAAACTGAATTAGTGAAAGTTCAGCAAAAATGTAGTACAAGACAGAAAACCAAATGTATAGAGTTTTGAGGAAACCTGGCACAATTAACTATCAAGGTCAGTGGGAGTTATGTCCCTTTAGGGAAGACCAAGATTAATGCAAGTATTCTGTTCACTGACCATGTGAGATGTAGTCTGGACAGCAAGCTTTCAAGTCAGCAATGATTCCAGACAACTGCTAGGATGGTGACCTACTAAAGACCCAACTCTTAGTCAGTTAAATGGCTTTCTCTGTACTGCTAGTGAGGGAGTAAATCCCTTCTTACACTTATAATGAAGTTCAAGGGAAAAGATTAAAAATTAGAGCATCAGATAAGGCCAGGGGGAGGGTTGAGGTAAGGCAGCAGGGGTAACATCAACTCACACATGTAGAGCAATGTTGTTAGGGGTTCCATCGTGGTCAAAGTCCGAGAGGTCATTAATGGAGCTTACTGCAGTGACTGCCTGTCCAATTGTGTAGACAATGGATAGTGACACAATTGTCCTGTGTTTCAAGGGGTTAAGAAAATCCAAGTTAATTGTACAGTCCACTTCCTACTCCACCACAAAGAAGTCCCCTACCTTAAACTTTCAAGAGCCCAGACATGAATATATTTGTTTCTCAAACTTGAGTAAAACCAGTAACTTTTAGAAAGGCAACCTGCTGAAGAATTTGTTGCCCAGCCCAGCCCAGCCCACAAGTGTAGAGCAAAGTTTTGGCTGGAAGAGCCAAGGCAAGGAGGAAGATCCATTTCATCTTTGAACTCTTTGAAAGACTCAGTGTTTTCTTTAACCTAACTATTGGATTCAGTACATAAAACTTCAGATAGTTATCTTCTGCCTGGTAACATTTGTGCTGGAGTGGACCATTGGTTATTTTTATGCTGTATTAAATTACTTTGAGAATGAATTTTCCTGCTCCTGCACACTTCATGTCTTTGACCTGGAAGAGCCTCCACTTCCTTGCTTACTAAGTTCTAGAAACTTCCTGATAATCTGCTATTGAATGCACTTCCTGAAGGACTGGGTGAGTGTCGCATATCCTTTCTACTCATGGAGGAATGTGAGCCTTTTGGCAGCTGGGACATAAATTAGGGAGTTTCTTTGTTCTCCCTGCCCTTAACTCAGTGGCCCACACATTATTAATGATACACAGTATTCCTGCTACTATTTCAAGATGAGACAAAGATGTTATCCCTGTTTGAAGGAGGACAAAAAGAACCTACCAATGCTATTTGCAGTCATTGCTAAATGCTAGGCAGAGTGCCAAACTCTGCGAGTATGATGATGAGCCAAAACAGGGTCCAACATGCACTCCTAAGAGTTTTATGCTCCCAATTCTTTTCTCCCAGAGTCCACAATCTCAAATCACAAGGCTAATAATTACGTTTTTTCTTGTTTGTGAATAAGAAAGTTGCAACAACTCACTTGAACTTTCCGAGCCAGGAGTCAGCAATTAGAGCACCGAGAATTGGTGTCAGGTAACACAGAGCAACAAATGAGTGGTAGACTGCAGTGGACAGATTGTCATCCCAACCAATGAACCGTGTGAAGTACAGAATCAGGAGTGCTTTCCGAAGTGGGCAGGGGGAGGGAAACACAGTTAGAAATGGCTGTGGTAACTGGCTCTCTTCATGCAAAGGGGTGAGATGTCAAAAATATTTACCTTTCATGCCATAGTAGGAAAATCTTTCACAGAATTCATTGATCACGATGAAGAAGATGCTCAGGGGATACCCAAAGACACTCTGACAAAAAGAAACAGTCAGGGGTTAAAATATGCTCTTCGTTGGCCCATATTTAGTCCCAAATGAGTGCTAATGGCATGAAAAGTAGCTTGTACCTATTTAGAAACTTGTCGGTGACTATCTAGAGGTAGAATATAGGATTTTAACATTTCTATTCCCTTACATACCACACAAAGACAACAATGAAATGAAGCATCTAGTTTTACTGTTAGTCTGAGAAGGGCTACATATAGCATTTCCTAAAGAGAAGGAATGTCACACAGCAACTCAGGATTGTCCTCCCATTCATGTTAGATGCATGATACACATTTGTTATGTCAATGAAGCACAAATATGAACATTTAAGGGCAAAACAGACTAAAGTTTATAAGATGAAGCCAAATGGAAATGAAAAAAGGATACTGACCCGTGGTTCAGACATTCCTGAAAGAAAAACAAAGATGCCAATATTAAAGTCAGGTAACTAACATACCTTTTGTTGAGCCTAAACTCAGACCCTCTGACTTTTCCTGGCAGTCAGATATGTTGAGTCCAAGGGTCCCAAACCACTCTCAACCCTGCCCAACCAGGCTGTACAGCAGGAGGTGAGAAGCAGGTGAGTGAGCAAAGCTTTACTCACATTACTGCCTGAGCTCTGTCTTCTGTGTCCCTCCTACCCCCAACCCCTTCCCTGGTCCGTGGAAAAATTGTCTTCCATGAAACTGGTCCCTGGTGCCAAAAAGGCTGATGGGATTCCAGATAGCTCCAGCCCTCTCCAGGGTTCCAGCCCTAGACCATGTGTCTTATCCAGAGTAGGACCTGGCAGCTGCATTTCCTTTTAATTAGCTCCCAGCAATTCTCATGTGCAGTCAGAGCAGAGAACCAGAGGCACAGAGAATGCCATTTCCTTCTTAAAACACTTCAAAGGCTGCCTATTTGTCCACAGAATAAAATTCAAACTTTTAGCATGTTCTTTAGTATCTCACAAGGTGGCTTTGGTGAGGATTAAATAATGGAAATATGAACTGCTAATGGGTACCTAAAACACTGAAGATTCAACCACCATTCCTGTTAACTAGACCCATCTTCCTTCCAGCCCCTTCCCCATACATAGAGGGCTCCCATGATACCCAAACATTTGTTCACTGACCACGTCGTATACCCACCCAAAGCCCTTAATGCAGAAGACAACAAATTCTCTGCAAGGAATGCTCCTTTTATGCCCTCCTTCCCTTCATGAAGGCCTCTCTGACTTCCTATGTTACCACAGTGCAATAACAGTTTATATTTTTGTCCCACTTTAATGGAAGAATCATGTGCTGGCCATCTCCACATCTTTCCCAATACCTACCAGAGTGGGGCCTATTATCAGAAGAGCAAAAAGACAAAGGGTGAGAATCCAAATGAGTTGGTAAAAACCAAGGGCCATTGACTATCTTCTTAACTTAGTGTCCTTCATCTCCACTGCCTAGCCCCTGATCTTCTGTCTCCCCTGAATTCTGACAAAAATTGAACCACAGTCTTGTCTCAAGTCCTAACATTTCCTTGTACTACTTCCTACACCAACACATTGCCCAGTAATTATCAGTGGCTGTTACATGCTAGGCCTCTTTCCATGGGGAATCATCTCCCTCCCCCTCTCCAGCCATCAAAGACCACATCTTAGAGTTCTTTGTTGTTGAGATCCTGTTCTCAGGGTCCCCTGAGCTTCGCTGCCTCACCCTACCTCTATTAGGAATCAGTGATTCCACAGCAGTGATTCTCAAACTGGTATGTATCTCAGCATGAACCCGAGGGCTTATGAGAATTGGTTGCTGGACCACATGCCCAGAGTTGTCTCTATAGGTCTGGGGTGGCCCCTTGAGCTTTCATCCCTGAAAAGTTCTAAGGTGATGTTGATACCCTGGTCCAGGGACTACTCTTTGAGAACCACGGGGCGGGGGGGGGGGTGCTGTGATGTTGAATTGTCTGATCTACATAAGTAAGTTTTATCACTTCACTGGCCCTGAGACCAGAGACCATTCTATGTCAGTTTAGAGTAGGAACTGACTACAGAAGCTGGAGAGTACACTGAAGTTTTCACCAAGGCTTCCCATCTCAAACTCCTACATGGTTCCCCATTCAGGGCCCTTCCTCTGGGGTCTATTATGTGCAAGTCCAGGGCCCCATGACACAATAAGCAAAACTGCAACTCTGCCTGAGGAACTCCGTTCTTGGCCCATGTGGTCTTTCAGGCCTCCACTCACTCCTCTGGTGGGGCCATACTTCCTGATTCTGGTCATGCTTTACTGTGGATATTTGCACTTCTCCAGCTCAGCATGGCCCCATGGCCTCATACCAGGTAGTTTCACTTGGGCCCACTTAAGAACAGTAATGCTATTTTAGTCCTTGTCTTTAGGAGGGAAATAAACTGTTCTGATCTCACAAGGCTCTGATTCTGAACTCTTCTTGCCTACAAAAATTCTGGAAGGAGATTCCTCAACACTGTAAGACTGGTTTTCCCCTATGATCTCACCTATAAGTGGAACCTCATGAACAAAACAAACAAGCAAGCAAAATATAACCAGAGACATTGAAATTAAGAACAAACTGACAGTAACCAGAGGGGAGGGGGGAGGGGAAAAGAGGAAGGGTTTTCAGGAACATCTATAAAAGACACATAGACAAAATTAAAGGTAGGTAGGATCAAGGGTGGGGAGTGGGGATGGCTGGGGGGAATTTGGGGGGATGGAGACAACTGTACTTGAATAACAATAAAAAAAGACTGGTTTTCTCCTCAGTTAGACTTCCTTGTGGGAATGGGCTGCTTTGAGGGGCATCATGTGAAGAATGCGGGCATGGGTTCATATGATTAAATCTCAGTCCGGTTACTTTCCAGCTGTGACCTTGGGCAGCCTACCTATCAAATGAAGATAATGCCACATACCTTACAGGACTGCCGTAAATGTTCCATGTGAAAAGCCTCAGCCCAGGGCTTGACACATCATTCAGTGGGAAATTCTACTACCACAGGGTCTTTAGCACCTTTCATGGTGCTTTTAACAGAGCGGAAATTGAATGTTTGTTGAATAAATATATATTCCAAAGTGCCAAGTCATCAATTACCATGTTCAGATCTTGGCTCTGCTACTTGCTAGTTGCATTTGCCCCTCCTGCTAGCCACCTTCTGCCCATTAAGCTGAGCTGTATGGATTTTAGGACACATGTTTTATAAAGCCTGCTGGCAGTATTTGAAGCCCAGTTTCATTGCAATGGTGTTCTGTCTTCTTGAGGACATGGCAGGACCTTACAGTGTTCTGCCTACTTAGACTCCATATGATGTTGTCTTACTATTGTCTCCCAAAGACAAGACACAGAAGGGACTGACACCCACAGACTGGTCCTTGCAATGAACCTTCTTTAGAAAAACAGGAGGGAGATATGGACACTCAACCTCAACAGAGATAGCCTAGATCTTCACTGCAATCATGCCTTCTGCGAATTTCTCAGAATTTTGGTTTTCAAGGAAAGGCTTTGTTTGGCCAAGGTAGCATCTATAATTTTTTTTCTAAATATTATTTAACACTGATTATTTGCTAAATAATAATGGCAAAGGTTTTGTTTAGTTCAAACATAAATAAGATTATAGAAAAGAGACCAAAACAATCAGACAACTTAGGTCTTGTTATAACCATCACAACCATCACACCTAGAACTACATTATGGAAAATGGTATTTCTAAGCTCACTCAAGAAAAAATCTGAGTACACAGCATCACTCAGGAAGTTTTTTAATTTTCTGACAGGTGTACTTTTAAAAGGCATGTATTGCAGGGCAGAGGCTGATAAACTCATCTGCAGAATTAAGAGCTATTTACTAGATGTAATACTGTAGTCAGTATTTATTATCTTAATACACCTGTGTCAACAGGTGTATTAAGCACTGCTATCTTAGAAAGCAGAAGCAGTGCTTATGTTGAGCCTTAAATCTGAACTCAAATTTCAACTGTCGCAGAGTCTGTTTATTCTGGTATAACTGTGTCTGTTCTTGGTATCCTGAAAGTAAATCTAATCAGCATATTTGAGTGGTCAGATGTTTCTAGTATCATTCATGGGTTACTTGGATTTAACTACTGATCCAAGTAAGCCAGTTTAGAATCAAACTTGCCATGGAGATAGCTTAGCCAGTACCAGGCACATGGCAAGCACTGATCAAGACTGGTTCTTATTGTTATTCTAAGATGAGCAGTGCTTTTATCTTTCTTTTGGCTAAAGAATTTAATAAAATAAATATACATTATACATTTCTATGATTACTGACTTGGGGATAGTATCAGGAAAAACAAAGGAGTCTACACTTCTCATTACTTAATGAAATCTCTCCATTCAGGTGACTATTTCCTACTATCTAACAAAACACATTTCACATTTTAAACTATTTAGGGGTGGAAATCATAACTTTAACTGTTCGTTACCTAGAAATTAAAAACTCCCTTAGCACCATGATGGGTTTAAAGAATGAGTTTCTAGTACTCGGACTTAAGGAGAGAAGGAATGAAACATTTTGCTGAAGTCTAACAGAGGAGCTCTCACCTTCATGTTGACAGAAAATTGTTCCTTATCGTTACCAAGAATGAACTTGGGGGAATACTTTAAATGTTGCATAATGTATTAGAGATGGTATTTCCAAAGTTGTGTGGTGTGGTATGCAGAACGCTGGTGCCCCAAAGATGTCCATGTCCTAATCCTTGGCAGTTGTGGCCATGTTACCTTCCCCAGCAAAGGGACTCTGTGATTCAGTTAAAGACCATGAAATGGAATGTTCACCCTGGATTATTTGGGTGGCCTCAGGGCAATCACAAGCGTCCTTAAAAGAGTCCAAGGAGGAGATATGAGGCAAGAAGCAGAGGTTAGAGTGATGGCAATTGCTGGAAGGCCACCAAGAGCCAAGGAATATGGTAGTTTCTAGAAGCTAAAAAAGGCAAGGAAATGGTTTCTCCCCTTGAAACTCCAGAAGGAATACAGCCCTGCTGACACTTTGATTTTAGCTCAGTGAGATTCAGGTCAGTTTCTGACCTCCAGAACTGTAACACAATATATTTGTGACATTTAAAGCCACTAAGTTTGTGCTAATTTGTTATAGCTGCAATAGGAAATAACACATGGGTGGCCTCAAGCTTTGTAAACATAGGTTTTTATCATAATTTATATAGAACCAAGTCTTGAACTTCTTAGCAGTTTTATTTGTTGGCAGAATGCCCTTTTTGTATTTTTTTTTCTAAGCTACATTTTCTACCTGGGGCCTTAGAAGTCCATACCTGGCACCTGCCTTTTTGATGTGATCTGGCAGCATCTGTATGTGCTCTGCTCTCTTCGGCAGGTTACTGACTCTCCATCTCTAGTGCATGGATGCTGCCTCCCAGGGGTGCTGCAAAGCAGGAGTGGTCTACCAATAGTTTAATAAAC